TCTGTCTGTCTATTGATCATGTCTGTCTGTCTATCGATCATGTCTGTCATCTGTCTGTCTTATCGATCATGTCTGCAGGAAAGTGGATCTCGCGAGCCAGATTTGAGGATCACTGCTATAAGGCTACAGGCAGGTAATTTTGCTCGGGGTTAAAGCTAAAATCTGCAGGAAAGTGCATCTCAATGGCTAGGGTTTCGCGGCTCTGGTGCAGGTGTAAATACCGTGTGCTGGTATTTCCGGAAGGTGTCGCTGTTTCATCGCTCCTCGCTCTCGCAGAATGACTGAGCTGCATTGGCTACCTCTTTCTCATTCATCACTTAGCCTGGTACTTGAAAAAACTATTTTGCAGTAAAGTTTTCAGATATGATTAGGGTTTCCACGGTCATGGAAAGCCAGGAAATGTGAGGGGATCTTAAAAAGGTTGATTTCCAGCTCTGGAGACGTCATAGAAATAAGACCCCAGTGAGTGCAAATCTTTTTACTCCGTTTAGTCCGCTCTAAAATATTTAATTGAGTACATATTCCTAAAATTAGTGTGTATATATATATAATGGCCTTTATGTATTAAATCATTATAAACCACTAGATTATTCAGTTGTAACTGTATAAAAAGTATGTAGTTATTTTTAGGCCATGTTACTCAAGTCGATGATAATTTATCAGCGATAACTAGTTTATTCTCTCTTGTTCAGGCAAACACTAAAACAAGTCGTTTAATTGATTTAAACCAGTCAGGCACTGGTTTATAAAAGGTGTTTTCAGTGGTTTCTGGACATGCTTTTGGCAGCGCCTTTCGAGTCTCAGCGGCTGCTAAGCAACGTGGAATCGGAGGCTGGCGGCCTGGCGCTTCGAGAAAGAGGGCGGGGCTCGCGCGGCACAGAGGGAGGTCTTTTAGAACGCGTCTCTGCCGCACACACAGCAGGCTAATGTGATCGCCCCTCGGTTAGCTCCGTGCGCGCACAGCTGAGCTGAGCGCTGGTGATGAAGCGCTGTCTTCACATGCTCCACCGAGGAGATGCGAAGAATTAATCATGCCGTTTTTCTCATGCTGAGCGACTTACACTCAGGAAGATTTCTTGGTTTCACAAGTTTGTGGGACGTATCAGGCTTTTTTTCCACTAAGGTAAGGTCCATTCCTGTCTTGCTTTTTGCTGTTAGTATAGTATTGTGGTAATACGATTATATTTCGAAAAAAAATCGATTATATTTTTGATATTATTACTTACCTTTGTTTCTAAAAAAACAAAATTTAAACTATTATTGAATTTTAATAGTTATTTCTTTAAATAACTTTTCCTCCTTATTTTTTAGATGCCAAAAAGTCTCTTTTGTCTTCAATAATACTGAAAAAAAATGAAGTGTCATCGACCAAAAACATAATTTCAATTGTGAGAGGAAGAGATTGTGATTCTCAGCAATGAGGTGTGACAATTCGACCAATGGGACAGATACGCCATACACCCTGCTGGTGGCCCTTCCTATGAGCGTCCTGGTGGGGCTCCTCATCCTCCTCATTGTCTTTGGCAATGTGCTGGTGATCATCGCCGTGTTCACGAGCCGAGCTCTCCGGGCTCCTCAGAACCTGTTCCTGGTGTCGCTGGCCTCTGCTGACATATTGGTGGCCACTCTGGTGATGCCGTTCTCGTTGGCGAATGAGCTGATGGGCTGCTGGGCCTTTGGGCAGGTTTGGTGTGAAATCTACCTGGCCTTGGACGTTCTCTTCTGCACGGCCTCAATCACTCACCTGTGCGCCATCAGTCTGGACAGGTACTGGTCGATCACGCAAGCCATCGAGTACAACCTCAAGCGCACACCGCAACGAATCAAGCGCATTATTTTTATAGTTTGGATCATCGCTGCCGTGATCTCCTTCCCACCTCTTATTACCATGAAGAAGGAAGAGGGGAACACCTGCAAAATCAACGAAGAAAAATGGTACATTGTTTCCTCTTCCATCGGCTCGTTTTTTTTGCCTTGCATCATCATGGTCCTCGTGTACATCCGAATCTACCAGATCGCCAAGAAGAGAACCAGAGCGCCACCTGGGGACCGGAGGAAAAAGGAAGCGGGCAAGAAGGAGAATGATCCCCATGAGAAGCTCAATGGGAATCCGAACCCCAAACAGGACGACAAGGGCGAGATAAACGGCATGGACATGGAGGAATCATCCTCCTCGGACCACAAGGTCTCCAACCCTTGCTCCCTCAAGAAGAAGAGCTCAAAAGGAAAGACCAAGCTGAGCCAAATCAAACCGGGGGACGGTGACAAGAGCGAGGTCCTCCAGACCACCAAGACCAGCAGGTGGAAGGGCCGTCAAAACCGGGAAAAGCGCTTCACGTTCGTCCTGGCGGTGGTCATAGGTGTGTTCGTCATCTGCTGGTTCCCATTTTTCTTCACCTACACATTGACGGCATTTTGCAAACGCTGTGTACCAGAAACTCTTTTCAAGTTCTTCTTCTGGTTCGGCTACTGCAACAGCTCTCTCAATCCCATTATATACACCATCTTCAATAATGACTTCCGAAGATCCTTCAAGAAGATCCTCTGCTGGAGAGATAACAGGAGAGTGGTGTGAATGGGTTGCTGTTTTTCTTTTCCCTTTATATATTCCCTTCCCAGTGTAATATATCACCTGGCGTTTATGGGAAGTACTTGTGTACAGTAAGCCAACATGTTGTGTGTCATTATACAAGTCTGAAGAGGAAAAAATAGACTCTTACATGCTTTGTACAAATGCAACAATGCATGATTATGCAATTACAGCACATTGCAGATTCGTCCATTTCTGAAGTGTATTGTTGTGTCGCTCTTGATATACAGTGAGTGGTGTAGTTTCGTAATTCTGGTATTTTGTCATCCGCCAACGTTGAGGGACATATTCAAAGACAATGCATCACAAACCATGCTGGATGTTGTTTAAAATGTGAAAAAAGTGCCAAAGGACTACAAACTTGGCCTTCAAGCCTTATAATGTGCTGCAAAACTGTCAAACTATGCTGCAACGTGCATGCCGATGTGTTTTCTCGCAGGGCCAGTTTATTTTCCCTGACATATTGTATAATTAATTGTGAAGGTGTTGATATTGTTTGGTGGATTAATTGTATTTTTTTATCCCTGCCAGTAACGGTTCATTTAAAATCTTGCTGTGGACCATTACTTTAATGTCTCAGCTGACCGTTCACCTCAGAAATCCGGTGGCTTATGTACCTCACAATTATGTGATTTACGCATTTCATTTGTTCACCCCCCCCCAGAGCAAATTCAGGAATAGCATTTTACAAACCGCGGTGTAGTTCCCCGGTGGCAGCAATACATTTATATGCTGGAGAGAATGTATCGAGACCTTCATAATTATGATGGATCATGATCATTTCATCTCATCTATAATCATCATTAAATCGTCAAGACAGCGGGGTGATACTTACGAAGTTTAAAATAAGGTTTTTATTGCACTGACCTGTATCGCCGGTTTCCGAACCTTTTACGAACTGACATAAAAGTATTAAATGGGAACTTTAATCACCACCCACAGCGGCAGAGCTGCGGCTGAGATACATGTATGACATGATATGAGCTGTCGGGAGGGAGGAGGAGGTGTGTGGATCCTGCTGGCCGTCCTGAAGTGTGAGTGGGAGACCAGAGAGATGGCCGTGCGGTGATGAACAGGAACATTCAGTGGGCGTGCAGGGGGTTATACCGTTGAGCTTCACTTCAGAAGTGTGAATGAGCGGGAGGAGGGTGTTTTGGTCAACTTTGAGAGAGAGAGAGAGAACTTGATAATTAATTACATCAGCGCAGGTGAGGGCTGTGAGGACAACCGCTGCCAGGTTTGTCAAAGACGGCTGTGAATAAAATCAATCAATCAAACAAACAAATATTTTATTATTATTTAAAAATTATAACAATAATGATTAATTTTATAATAACAGTAAAAATAATAATTATTATTATTATCAGGGAAGGTTTATGCTTTATGCCACTCTTCAATGAACAGACCCCAATAAATCTGGACAAAACAGTGCTTATGTCTTTGAAATTATTGGTTCTTATTACTTTTGTGTTGACAAAATGTCTGATAGAAGTCTACATGTTTTATGCTAATTTCCTTGGTTTTTATAAAAAAAGAATCACAATAATTATTATAATCTGATGTTTATAAAAAACAATACTCATAATCATTACAATATCAACATTAAATAATAATAGTAATTATTATTATTAATAATTATCTTAAAAATACCTTTGTACAATTATCATCATAATAATATATTATAAAAAAATTTACAACAACTATTAGTATTTTAGTTTTTTATCTTAAAATACCTTTGCACAATTATAATAATAATACATTATACAATAAAAAAAACAATAACAACATCTATAAATCTGAACAAAAATCTGAAAATGAATAAATAAAAATAAATGTTATGCCTTAATAAAATCCTAAAATAATAAAATGAAAGAAAGAATAAAGTAAAAAGAAAATAAAAAAGGAACAAAAGAAAAAGAAAAAAAGTTCAATAATCTAATTTTTATTATTAAATATATTATTATTACATTGCAATAATTATTATCACAATAATTATTACATAAGATTTAAACATAAATTATAAAATGTAATAATCAAAATAATAATCCTTATTATTATTAAGAATAATAATCATAATTAAAAGAAGAAAGTCCATATATTGTATGCTAAATTATTTCGTTTGTTATTATTACATCAACATTAAGTATCATATATAATAATAAAATATGTTACTATTTTAATTTAAGATAATAATCATAATTAAATTTAAAATCATTAAAATTAAGATAAATAATATTATTGATATTATTAATTATCTAACAGTCATTCTTGTTGTATTATATATATATATATATATATATATATATATACACACAGTGCTGGGCTAGTTACTCAAAGAATGTAATATATTACTCATAGTTACTCCTTTCAAAAATAATATAGTTACTTTACTTATTACTTTCGGGCGACAGTAATTAGTTACACTACTAGTTACATTACTTTTTCTTCAAGCCCCACAGAAGTTGTAACTGTGTATCTTCCACATAAAATTATACTAGAATGTTACTAACAACATAATTCTGCCTCATCATTTGACCAAAATCCACATTGGATCGCAGTCAGAAGTTATTACAAACACTCAATAGTGATTGATAGTGACGTTCAAGTAGAAGTAGATGTGTAGCTTGAAGCTAATTGTAATTTCTCTGTTACCCATATACGATTATATTTCATTATGTATTTTGTCAAATCACATACGTTTGTAAGAAACTGTTTAATTTTCCAAAAATATTTTTTAATTATAGTAATATAATGTACCACATGCTGGTCAGAGGGGTGTGGGTGGGATGTAATGCCAGAGTAAAGTAAAGCCACAATTTACACAACAGTGTTCAGATCATCTTTTATCCTGACAAAATCAATATAATGCAATATTTCTATCTGCTGAATGTAAGCTTTTCCATATTCCAAGCTTGCCTGCTGCACTGGGGACTTCACATGCATGTGCTAGTCTATATATATGTGTGTGTGTATATATATATATATATATGTGTGTGTATATACGTATATGTGTATATACATACGTGTATATATATATATATATATATATATATATATATATACAGTATGTATATGATGGTTAGTTCGCTAGAGAAATGAAATGGAGAGAAGAGCATTTCGTGAAATATTAGACTTTATACTCATTATAATTTTACTTACCTGTTCGTGATGTCTTAAT